AGTGAAAAAACTAAATAATAATTTCAAGGAAAACAATTTGATGTTCCCGTTATATAAACAYGAGGCGAAACAAGGTAGGGTGTCCCCTGTTTGAACTGCTGCATGAGAGTCAAGGCCGAAATCCTACTMTGAGTTATGGACTGCAAACAACAAACTAACGATGCTTTTCAAGGTTATTGCTGCATAAATAACCATTAAAATGAATGCTGATGCAGCAGTCTAAAACCAACAGACACCTGACACACTCTCCCACAYGCAGAAAAAAAMCTTTTTAGCAAGGGCGGCAAGTTTTTGTTTCTAAATGACATAAATTTAGGGTTAGTGGATCATATGTCTACTCCCTTTTAGAAGCCGGTGTTTCTGTTCGGTGGAAGGGGCACGGTGGTTAAAATGTCAGAGCTGCGCTATGCTCTTGCATGACAAACACCAACCTGGAGCCAGCTGTGACAAAGCCCTAATCCAGAAAATCCCTCCTTCCTTTGCTGAAAATCCTAATGAGGATTTGAAGTACTCGGCAGGGAGGAGACCCGGGGGTTGTGGTTACACCTTGCCACGGCTTGCTCTCCCAGTCATTGTCTCCTTATCTTCTTATTGGCCAAGCCTGGCTGGTGATGAAAGAGACATGACAGCATGGCCAGCCTACGTACACAGACCCCACACCTGCCTGGCTCCACGAGGAAGCCAGATCCCACGGTCTACCACAAACAACCAGGATAACATCAAGAAAGCAGTTAGAGGAGGAAAAAATAAATAATAAAAAAACAGGGGTAAGCCATGCAGGACTAACCAAACATTTCAGAGCTTCAGCCTGAACAGTTCTGGAGCTGATTTAGATGATCAAATTGCAAAAAAAGATAAATAAATAAAAACAGTAAAATGCAAATAGTGTTTCTTAAAAATTAATACCAAAAACTATTTGTTTTAAATGAAAGTAGCAAACAGAAGCTGATTTTGTTAATTATAAACTTTTATTTTTCATTTACTTCTGATATTATATTTTATTAGATTTACCTTTTAGACACTTAAAGACAAATCAACTAACCCCTCATATTACTTTGTGAGCCAAAAAGTTTCCAAAGTATGAAACAACTAAAATAATTTAAAAAAAAAGTTCTATCAATATGGATTAATGGCTACAAAAACTGGAACATCACTGGGAGGTACTGGATTCTGTTCGTGTAGGTTCTGGCTCATATTAAGCCCTGGGCTTTAACTTTCAGTAATTAGATTTCAGAACACCTTGATTGTTCATTTCACTTCTTTGACTTTGAGATGAAGGTTTTAAGTCTCCTCTTTTTTTTTTCCTAAAGAACAGGGACTTTTAAAGGTGCCCTTTCTTGTTGCCTTTGAGAAACCTCAAGTACTTCAAACATGTCAGGCATTTAAGGAGGAACAATAACAACGTTTCAGTGTGGAAAGACATAAAAAAATATCTGTGCATTAGGCTTGTTCTCACAAGATTTACCTCTGGGGTAAAAAAATACTTTTTTATGTTACAGTGATATGAGAAAATGCAATCTGAAGAAATATTTACATTTTACAGCCAATTCATTGAAATATATAATTTTGCTTGTTTCATTACAAACTTTCTTGATCATAAAACAGTGTTTCATGATTGTTTTTAGTTAATTTTTCATTCTTTATCAATTAAGAATTTGTTTTGAGTTGTGTTCCTAGAAAGAGTTTTGTAGCTGTAATAAATAAATAAAAATAGCTTACATCCACAGCCATCATATTCTTAGTACACTCTGTCTAGCATGTAGTGAATATAAACCAACCTCACACTGCTTAACACTAATTCTTGCTGTTCTCACTCATTGTGCTCCAACATAATTCCAAAAATCTTTTGGGATTTTTTTTAAAAGTGTTGCCAAGCTAGGTGTGAATTGTTATTCTGTCACTGGTTCATGCAAATCCCACCAAATGTGACTGCATTATTTTTGAAAAATGTGAGCCAGTTTAATTATCTTTTGCAAGGGTAAATCATCCCTGTTTTTATTTTTTAAAAGATCACTTGGGAAACCTATAAAATGTATACAAATAAAACCAGAGATGCAGTAAGTGATAGAGAAAGAGTTCTGGACTTGAGGTGCTTTACCTACCAAATAAGGCCTTGGAATTATGTGGTAAATAAAAGCAAAGTTGACCATTAAATAAATCATCTTCAGTTTTCACATCTGTATTTTTTTTTGTTTTGTTTTGTTCTGTTTTTTATTTTTTATTTTTTTTTATTTTTTGCTTTGTTTTTCTTGGCTCAAAAATTTTCAGCACATATCTCATTCTGCAACTTTTGTCATATTTCAAGGATTTTGGAATCAAAATGTTCAGCTCCTTCAGGACAATTCAGCTATAATTTTGGTACTTCGGCAATTTCTACTTTTCACGATATTTAGCTCTTTCTCGTTGAAAATGAATGGAGATGTTATCAACATCCACAAAACCCTTCAAAATACTCAATATGCTTTACAGAACTTTTTTACCTTTTTGTTCTAGTTCTGCCTTTTTAACTCCTTTGTACTAATGTCAGCTTCCTTGAGGTTCTATTTGGCAGATTTCAGCTGTTTTTATTTATTTTATTTACTTTGATGTTTTTAGCTATCATTTTGACTTTTTTTCTTCTGCTAATTTAAGCTATTTTCTGTGTTTTTTTTTTTGTTATATTTTGACAAATATGAGGTTTTTTAGCTTTTTGGGATAATTTCAGCTTCTAACTGTATAATTCAGCAAACGCAGCTCTCTGTTTCTTTGTGCTAATTTCTGCAACCTATTTTTAGGCTAGTTTAAGTTTTATTAGGTATTTGGCAAACATCTTTCAGCATTAAGCATTCACACTGCATTTTTCCAGGAAATGCAAATTCTCTAGTTATCGTTTGCATTAACTGTAAGATTATGGCTGAGCATTAACTGTAAGATAATGGCAGAGTATTTGATGACTAATCTTTATAACGATTAGTTTTAAAAGAGCTGGATCTGCAAGTGTACCTCTGTAAATGACAGCATTATGATCTTTAAGTACAGCATAAATAAAATAACACAAATCTATTTTAGGAATTAATGCCAGTAACTACAAGAGTTACTGATGCAAACAAGCATATATTTCTTTCAGTGTTAAGAGGTGATTATAAAAAAGAAAATGGAAGATGATAGACCTGAAAAAGCAGTGAGTCATCAGAGTAAATAAAATAGATATAGTCAGAGACACGTGTCCAATCAGTGGAGTCCAACGTGGACAGCTTATTGAGAAGGTCGGGGGAACGAAACGCCTCATAGCTCCAACCTTCATCTGGGATATGTTTCTATACAGTATACCTCCCTTAAGATGCAAAACAGGACAAGGAACTAACTTTAAACTATTTACAGCATTCTACTAACCCATTTAATTCAATTATAAAAATGCATTAAAAAGATATTAGGGGCAGAGGCAGTTTAATGAAGCATGTTTACTTGGGGATATTGTTTGTAATGAACTGTTTCTGAGCTGATCTCTGTGACCGAAATGGGGAAAGAAAAAGAAGTGAGGGGGTGGGGTGATGTTTGCAAACAAGTGGGAAAGGTGAATAAAAACTATCTTAATCATACACAAGACAGCTGTTTGTACTACAGAGTATTGTTTCCACTGAATGCACCACCTCTAAACCACATGTGATTCCATTTAAATTTAGGCTCACCACTCCCTCTGAGGTGTATATATACTTTAAATGGATCAGTTCAGCTCTTTTGAAATGGTATTCAGTCAAACGTTTAAACACAATTATAATTTTAGCTGTTGCAGATCAGCCATCTGTGATCGTTAAGATACTATTTGTTCATAACCTCTCAATAGAACCCCACTTCAAGAATTCTGAGTCATACCTTTTAAAACAGCTACTGTATGTGGTGCTGTTTTTATTTTATTTTTGCATTTACTATTAAACAACATCCAATTTCATTTTGTGGAGTGACTGTAAAGCTCTAGAGGAATGGCAACATGGGGAAAAAAAACACCTCCAAGGTGGTGACTATTTTTCTCGCTCTCTAAATAGACTTATTTACAGATATACTTGCCTGAAAATTGCATGCTTTGATCTTTATTCAAGTCTGGTTTTGGCATATATGTCATCAAAGTGCTGTTATTAATGTAAAACATCTGATTGTGTATGGACACTTCTGGGACTACAGCTACAGAAATCGACTGAAAGCCGGTAGAAATCATAAACCTCAAATTAKATATATACTTTTATTTTGTAAAGAAAGGATCACAGGGAATCCAGATGATGTGGTATCACATCGTGTACTGGTGTGATTTTCTACACTGTGAATAAAGCACGTTGATGAATCACTACCTCACAGCCTCAAGTCTTCCAATACAGAGCTAATAAAGCAGGTTGGCCAGAGCTCTGACAGCTGTCACCTTTTGAACAAAAATTATATTACTCCACTCATATTACAGAAAAAAATGCAGCCAACTTTGGATTTTTCTTAATCCACTCGTAAAACATTTAATGGAATGCGTTTCTAGTCTTACGGTTATAGGCCGGACAAAAAAAAACTTGCAGTTAATCTGAGAACGACTTAAATCAGACCTAATGAAGTATCACATCCAAGCTTTATGTTTTCTGGGGTGTGAAATCTGTACGCGTTTTCCATGACACAGAACATTTAAAGCGAGGAATGTACAAATACATCCAGCTCTGATGCCACTGGGAACAACTGACGCTTTCAAGCAGAAAATCTCAGACAAATCACAATTTAGCAACTAATGAAAACACTCTAGATTAAGCACCCCACACCCCCCATTTGTCTGTGCCTGCTGTCCTGAAAACTGAATCACAAGCAGGCCTTGGTTTGGCTTTGTTCACAATTACTGCTTTATTTCTCAACATCAGACTAAATTTAAAAAAAAATCTAAAATCTGGAGCTGAGTGAACCTAAAATATCACTTATTCAAAAGCAAAACCCCCTCCTAATAAATCGGTGTATTTAGGGAAACAAGCAAGGACAGTGCTTTCACATATACTCACCCTCGGTGGATTGCACTTGGGTTAGAGTGATGAGAAACCAGCWAAATGTCTGTAGTTTCCACAGGGAGCATGCCATGGTGCTGGGGACTGATGATTAGTGGCAGGTTAGTGCTGTGACAAAGAAGTGCTGATTAGAAAAGTCCAAGCCAACTCGTCTCMGAGATGCTCATCATTGATCTTCTTGCCTGTAAAGCAAACCGACAAGAGAAAAAAATAAAATAAAATAAACATGCTCACTACAGCTATACAATTTATTCCACGTGAGAGCTTTGCCCCTGTGCAATTTCATGGAGGAAGTCACCCAGTAGTGCTCGTGTCACGAGGTGCTTGATGTTGCATATACATTCCACTGCAGAGATGTGACAAACCTTAAGCTGTGAAATGTTACAAACTCACGCACAACACTAAAAAAGCCCAGAAGGTCAATAATCCTCAGGAGGGAAATCCCTTAATGGCAGCTGAATGCTAACCAATTCACTAACAGGGGAGGGGGAGCAGGGTGGGACCATCGCTCTATTCAAGCAGATGTGTTCCTCCCTGTCCATCCACTCGTGACTCACAGCAAAGTGACACTAACCCTATTAATTATGTGTCCGACTGCAGTTCTCTTCCTATCTGATTCAAAGCACATTACAGTTTTGTACGGTTCTAACAAAAATGTCATAATGTCAGTGATTTTAAAACAACCAATTTGCATTTCCTGTGAAAATACATAGTGAATGCTTAATGCTGAGAGATTTTTGATGAAAGCTGCTGAAAAAGCTGAGGTCAAGCTGAAAACTAATAGAAAAACTTTCAATTCAAGTTACATTTGAACAGCTGACTTGCTTAAGGATAAGAAAAGTGTGAAATCACTATAAAAACAGCCAGTTAAAAAAATGTTGTAATTCATTGTAAAACAGCTAAAGCAGCTGAAATCTGAAAAAACATAGCTAAAGGTAGCTGAAAAAGCTGAAATTAGCACAAAGAAGCAGAAAGAGCATGTTTGCTGAATTAAGCAGTAATACGCTGAAATTATAGCAAAAAAGTAAATGGAAAATGTTAAAATTAATTGAAAATGGCTAAAAAGTTGCAGAAATCATGTGAAAGGAGCATGAAAAGCTTAAATCAGCTAAAAGAAGCACAAAACAGTTGACATTAGGAGGAGAGTAGCTAAAAGGAGCAGAAAAATAGCTGAATTTTTTCAAAAGTATAGCAAAGTTTAATAATAATTCAAAATGTGGAAGCTTCAATTTTTTGAGAATAAAATGGCCTAAAAAGGTAAATATCTTAAAAATATGAAATGCTGAAGTACTAAAAGTCGTTGCCAGAATTTTCAGAAGGAGCTGACCCATTTTAATACATAAAATGTTCAAATTGCAAAAAAAAAAAAAAAAAAACTTGTAGAGTGAGATGCGTAACGAAAAACCTACTGAAGAAAAGTGTATCCCTACAGTTGTGTGAATGCATGTTAAGCATTCACACAATGAGTTGCAGCTTTTTCTCATGAGGCTTGTCGAGTCATTCTGTAATATACAATCTATAGTGCCAAAAAAATTGCAGGATGGCAACACAATACCWTTCAAGTTTTAAAATTAATGCTGATGATTGTAAGAAAATCTCAGAATCTTGCTAGAAATTGACTTGAAAGCTACCTTTATTTATATGATCTTTAATTGAAATTACAAAATCTCTTAAGCATTTAGCATAGCATACTGTATATTGCACGCACTGTTTTCAATCATTATAAATTATTGCATTTCTTTTCTTGTACCTTCAGCATCCCGACCAAACTGTTCTAATCCAGATAAAATGTTGTAGCTCTTTCCACCCCAGTGGCCAAGCCAAACAAATAAACACTACCAGACAAATGGTCACTCCTCTGTCTTGTGACTGACTGACCACAAACCACTTTATCTCTCCAGCATCTTCGTCCTGCAGCCCCCCACCCCCCCCCTGCCCTCTGCCTTGACATCTCCCTAAACCAGCATGCCTCCCTCTCCCGCCTCATCCATACCTGTCTCTGTAGTACAAATCTGAAAGTTTGTTTTGCTCTCTTTGGCTACAAAAGCAAATGGCCTCTTCTCTGTCACGGATCCAGTGCCGAAGCTGTGTACGGTGAAACCTAATGCCTACCTGCACGCCCAGGCATGTGTTTCACACAGCTAACAGCTCCCTTTTGTCTGTGTGTTTACACTGCTAGGTTAAGCTCTGTCCTCTTACTCCCATGAACCATTAGCACATTCACCATGGGATATGGCATCACTCAGGCAACAAGGCTCATAGGAACCCATTAGAAACTGTTTTTTTTTTCTTTTTTAGCACATTCAAAAACATTTTTTTCAGTCTGCAGCCTCCAAATTGTTATTTAAGATTCAAGGGACCGAATGTTATCCATCATACCAGCGGCTAACAAGGAAACTCAGCTGAGAAGACGGTGAGGAATACTGTTGTTATGTGCTGTTGGAATTGGCCAAATCAGATTCAGCTGTCTCCTCCACACTGGAAGATAACCACTGCCTGAAGGGTCTTTGATCTGTTTTGTCGGAGTTCTCAGACAGAGTAATAATTCATCACCGAGAAAACATGCGGAGCGCACACATTAGCCGACAAAGTTATAATTAAACCTGCCATAATCAGCTCATCTGGTATGACATTGCACCTCACCTGAGACCTCTAATTTTAGAGCTATTAAAAGAGGTTAACAGGAGCAGAACACACACGGCCACAGTGTATTTAGTTTCAGTGGAATAATGTGCAGTCACGAGGCTTGACAAATGAAAGTTGATCACAGAGACCAAACATCCCAAATTCCCACAAAACTCCACCACTTGGTTTTTATCAGCGCATGTGGCACCAATTACGTTTTCCTCGAAAAAAAAAATGGCTACCACTCACATTCAGTCCATACATTCTAATGAGACCTTAAGCTGATTGTCTACATGATAAAGGTTTATACTGACTTTATAGGATTAGGATTCCTAATCCATGCACACAAAGTTTTAGTGCCTGTTTTTTGTATTTAGATTAACGTATATGTACTGAATAATAACCCAGTTTAATTATCCTATACTAACACAATTTAAGTAAATATTTTTGAAGTGTCTACCTGTTTCACAAGTTTTCTAATAAATGATGGATAAACTTGGATATTAAATTGGTAAATTAATGTCAAGGAGGCAGTCTCTACCTAAATTAAACAAGAATTATAATTTATTAAAAACATGAAGTATATAAAGAAAATGGCATTTAATGGCTATTGTTTTTCAGATTATTGGAGCAGCATAATCATTATAGTGAGAGTTGTAACAGAGAGCTTTTTTTTTTTGGAGCGCACAAAAATCTGATGAAATCAGATGTGGGGCCGAGGGAAGTTTAAAAGAGTGAGAGTCACTGTTTACAACTTTGTCTAAATTATTGTAGTGCTTGTAAATGCAATTAACACTGACCCACTATTTCATGTGCTTACATGTAGTGCTCATCAACTGATGGCTCACGGGCCACATACAGTCCACAAGTTTATTACATTTGGCCCACAAGGTATTACATTATTAACAAATCCAACAGGAATCTGTTGATTAACTGGTCGTACTCAGACACTGGTGCACAGTGGCAGGATAAAGGAAGTTTTCTGAGGTATCCTTTCATGTTATTTTTTTATTAAAGTTATTCTGTTATCTAACATATTTTGCATATTTAAAATGATGTATACTGATTCATAGGTAACTTTAAAATTAAAACTTCTGAACCCGAAAACTAATAGCTAAAATGTGTAAAAATAAGTAAATAAATTGATTTTCATTTATGGCAGTAGCAATTTAAAAAAAGACAGCCTGATCGTAATTACTGAGAAGATGATTAATTAAAAGTCAGCCTCCAGACTTAATGATGAAAACAAAAAAAAAAACAATCTGGTCCTTCAATAAATGCTTTTGATGTTCTACCTAAAAAGTCTGCTGAGGACTCTTTGGCTCAATCTGTTGTCTAAGTAAGACGTGATAATATATTTAATCACAAAATGGCTGATTGCATCGGTTTGTTTTCTGTTCTGTTGGTTAAAGGCGTGCATGTTTATATGTAAACAAGTTATTTTCTGTCTCAACCTGCAGACAGCACCACAGAATCCCTGATTTTTCTTGTTTTCCTTCCCATCCCTGCTTCAAGTAAAACAGAAGCAGAACGATAAGCAGGTCTCATGTGACAGGATGTGAAGACAAAAGACATGACACCTTTGACTTTTTTCCCCCCTTCAAGGCTGTGCAGGACCCCCTGCCACAAAAAAAACATGCAAAATGTAGACTCCTAGTATAGGGCAGGTGGGTGTTCCGTAAATCGATGATAACAGTCCTATACTTTAATATATTTTGCATCATGCTGKGAGTGTTTAACATGCTGAGACACCAAAGGCGCAGACTGCAGGGAAACTGTCTGGCTGCYGCTCCCTTCCGTTCTCTTCATTAAACAAGCTGAGGTCTCCCCTCTCAGTTGGGGGCTTCTTTCTTGTCTCTCTGCCTTAGGAAAAAAAAAAACTGCCGGCATTCCCACCTTGGCTGTTTTCTTGCACAGTCCTCGACTCGGGTGCAATCACAGAACAAAGTTTCGAGTCTCTGCAACAATGTTTGTGCTCAAGCGTACGAGGGAGAGAGAAGCATCGCCGTCAACAACTCTTTCTGCACACGACCAGGCTGACGTTCTGTGATTTTTAAGCACAGATTGCTAAAATGTCTGCAGACATCACACTGCTAGCTAAATATGAAGTCACTGCAGACAGATGTTTAAGTACCCTGAGAAATGGAGAAGCCACAGGGGCGCGCGGGCCCACAGGCTTTAAACATATGTGCTYTCAATATACTCACAATACAACAGAGTGTTTTATAGTCAACAACTGAGTGTCAAATGTGCAAAAATTAGGAAGCAGTTGGTCTCCTTAAGAAAAAAAAAGGAGGGGGAAAGACTTTGTAAATGGAAGGAAGGGGGTTATTAGAGAGGAGGGGAAGAGGGTTGATTCAGGACAGTTTGAAATTTAAATACAGCGGGGGTCTGAAAACAAGAGGCAGATGTGAAAAGAATGTTGAGCTTCCTAGACAAAGCTCCTGGTTGTCCTTCTGTAGCTGCTCAAGAGCCACAGGAGAATAAAAGAAGAGTTGGACCATTCTATAAAACAAGGTCTGAGAGAATGAAGGGGAACTCAAAATAAAGAGCTCGA